GCCTGAACCCCCATACCCTGGCTGTGAGCACTTGGCCCCCTGGCTGGTAGCACCTGACCCCTCACACCCTGGCTGTAAGCGCCTGGCTCCCCGTGCCCTGGCTGGGAGCACCTGAACCCCCATGCCCTGGCTGTGAGCACGTGGCCCCCTGGCTGGGAGTGCCCCTCCTTGGCCGAGTTACCTTGGTCTTGCCCAGCTGCCACTCGCTGCTGGAGGCGTCGTAGAGTTGCAGAAGGACCGTGCACTTTCCTCGGACGTCCTCCGGCAGGATGAGGTTCCGCATCAGCACTCTATACCTGCAAGAAGGGTCATGGGTGTCACCTCGGGCGGCTGAGAGTCCCTCGTGGGGGAACGGGGATCCCCGCAGCTTGCCTTTTGTAGAAGTCCTGAAACGGCCTCCGGACGGCGTAGCCAGCCTTGCGGATCCTCACTGTCTCCAGCATCCCCGAGTACCGCAGCTGGTTGAGCACAACGGCCTGGTCAAAGTGGTCGGGCATCTACAACACACAACCAGTGTGAGACGTGAGACGTGAGCCGGGACGCCCCCACTGCTTCTGTCCCCACATATATCCCAACACCCAGGGCCCTGCGCACACACGGAGCAGACTAGAACAGAAAACACCAGAGCAAGTACTGCACCGGTTTACCCGGCAACCTCCTGCCACTCCCACCCCAACGACAGGCCACTGACCCCCTCTGCACATACAGGAGCCTCATAGTGCAGTGGATAAATCCTTCAGCAAATAAACAAGAGGTCAGTGGTTTGAGCCCATCAGCTGTTCATGTAGGGCAAAAGACGGAGCAGTCTTTTATCTAAAGATTAAGAGACCTCAAAATGTACATGTCTACATACACCCCATTTACCAACTATGTTGTTAACCTACATTTCTCATTTGCATAATAGTAAAAAATCTATTATGCAAACACTGTGAGCATTAATGACGTACACAGAGACTCAAGGCTGAGGTCTGACGGTTAAGGTGATGTGTCAGTTACACGACGATGCAATCACCCTCTGTTTTCAATGAAACCAATGTTCACATAATGACTTGGCCTAGTGACCGGGACACTAAGAATGCTGGTAAGGTAAGTGTAGCGCTGGTGTGAGTTTATGTGCATATGCTTATGTGCATATCTTATTTATTATTTCCCTTTTTTTCTTGCCAAGAACAGACAGGGCACACCCTGTACAACGTCTACACTTCAACTCACTCACTATTCTTAGGTGTTGTCTTATTAAGTGTACAACTATGGGAACCCTTTATTTCTAAGTTGTTCCTTCCCTCTTCTAAGTTGTTCCTTTCTATCTATCTTTCTGTTTGCTATCGTCAATTTGCAAGAAGCCCTGCTGGCACAATTAGTGATATGCTGAAGGTCTGTGGTTCAAATTCTCTAGTCCCTCTGTGAGAGGAAAGCTGGGTAGGCTCCTGCAAAGATTTTTTTTTTTTTGAAGTTGAAGAGTTTGATTTAATGACAAAGTAAATTAGGTCTTTAACATTATAGGGTTCTTGCTTTTAATTTTCTTT